CTTCAGAGTACCTACGTTTCTTAATCTGAATATTTTGTTATTAGGATTTACACAAATAGGAAAATAACACGCTGAAATGTACAGAATTATTGTTATTTTTAAAGTTGGTTCTCAAAGTAAAACAGACAACAGAGTTCTCTAGAGGAACATATACTAGAATTCATGTGTTAATTTCTAGGAAGTGTATAAAAATACTGAAGTTTATTTAAGTCTGGTCTTTGTTTTACTCTGTAATATATATTTACAATTTGCAAGTTTACTATTCAATTGGATGATAAATGGACATAAAATTCACATTTTCATTAAGTATTTTTTTGTGTGAAACATTGTTATGTTAAAAACTGATTTAAATTTATAATAGCCATTGTTTTCAATTTAAGACACCCACCACATTCTTATATCTCTTAAAGAGACTATGGAAATGAGACAGACTAGAAGCCAAACACACCTGGAATCTAGAAATCACTACTTGGAGTTCTTGGTAAAGTCTGAGTCTCATGTTGCTTATCTGTAAAATGAGTTGTCTATTTCACTGAGTTGTTTGGGGGAGATTACAGAGTGCTCTGAGAGGGCTTGTAAAAAGAAACTTCCAAATATAAATTTTATTGATATTCTAGAAAATTCTATTACATGGCTATACCATAATTGAACCAATTTATTTTTTAATTTTCAGATTGTTTCTAAGTTTTCCTATTAAATATAATTCCATAATATCCACTTGTAGTTTCTTTGCTCACAGCTTTTTGTGTGTGTGTATGTGTGTGATAAATTAAAAGAATGAAGTATGGGTGAAAGTATGAGGGACTTAAAAAAATTCATAGGAAAATAGAATTAAAAGATAATGGAATTTCCCACAAACTTTTTGAAGCCCCCTCACATATCTATACAGGACAAACACTGGACTGCAAACCACAAGACTGGCGGTTCAACTCACCAGCTGGTCTTTGGAAACCCTATTCATGGTTGCTATGAGTTGGAAACCATTCAATGGCTCTTAACGACTATATATATGTATATATTCCGTTTCAGTTAAGGATCTAATGCAGGTAAGTGAAAATATGAATATATTCTTGAAGACTCTAACTGAAACGGATTAACACAGTAGCTTCAACAATGGACTCAAACCTAGTGAAGATTGGGAGGATGGTATAGGACTGGGCAGTGTTTCAGTCTGTTGTACACAATAGGATTGCTATGAGTCAGAACCAACTTGATGACAATTAACAACAGTAACAGCAATAACAACCCATGCATACATATAAGGGTAAGTCAAATAGTATTGCTACTAGGTTTCCAGTTCATCCATGCCAGGGTTTATTTATGTTTGTTCATGTTGACATGTCTCTGGGATCAATGGATGATAGCTACAATTCTCTCAGTAATACAATCATCTTAGTCTCGTTAGGGTACTTTAAAAAGGGGGGAAGCTAGTGGGTAAAAAATAATTGAGGTCAGGGCTAATATAAAATTTTTATAAAATATTACTCAAGTTGGACATTTTCCCAAATCACTGAAGCTTTGCAACAAGTTTATGGGAACACTGCCCCATACAAAACAACAGTTTTTAGATGAATCAAGCATTTTAAGAAAGGGTGAGAAGACTTCAAAGATTAATTCAAGTCAGAGAGGTCAGCTCAGAAGGTTATGCTGTTGTTAGGTGGTGTTGAGTTGGTTCTGACTCATAGTGACCTGATGAACAATAGAATGAAACACTTCCTGGTCCTGCACCACCCTCACAATTGCCATATTTGAACCCACTGTTGCATCTACTCTGCCAATCCATGTTGTTAAGGGTCTTCCATTTTTTTCACAATGTTCTACTTGTGGAGTCCTAGTATGGTACTGTATGATAAGCACTGGTCTGCTAACCACAATGTTGGTGGTTCAAACCCAGCAGCCGCTCTTGGGAAATACTATACAGAGTCACTATGACCCTGTATACTTTACCAAGCATGATGTGCTTTTCTAGGGAGTGGTCTCTCTGGAAAACATGTTCAAAGTACATGATGAGACAAAGTCCAAGGTAGCATTCTGGCTGTACTTCTTTCAAAATAGATTTGTTTATTCATCTGTAAGTCCATGGTACTTTCAATATTTTTCGCCAACAACATAATCTAAATGCATCCGTTCTTTGGTCTTCCTTATTCATTTGTCTAGTTTCATATGCATACAAGGAGATGGAAAACACTATGGCTTGGGTCAGACATACCTACACCCATGTATTCAAAGTGACATCTTTGCTTTTTAACATTTTGTTGTTGTTATTAAGTGCAATCAAGTTGGTACTTGTTCAAAGCTGCCCTAGGCACAACAGAATGAAACACTGCCTGGTCCTATGCCAACCTCACAATCGGTGGTTATGTTTGAGCCTACTGCTGCTGCCACTGTGCCAATACATCTCATTGGGGGTCTTCCACTTTAAAGAGGTTGATTTCTTGATTGCTGCTTCCATTTGCATTGTTGACAGTGGATCCAAGTAAGATAAAATCCTTGACAAAGAGTTATGGTGATTGTTTTGTGGGGGGGATTCCAAAGGGTGTAATCTTGAGATTTTCTTGATGAACACAGGACAGTCATGGGGGCTTAACAGTAGAAATTTTAAAGAAAACTGAACGCTGCATTGATGAGAAAAGGTCAGGAAAGCTGCAGGAGTAATTCCCCCCTCCCCATCACAATAGATCTGATCATTGCTACAGGGTAGCAAGGATTGTCCCTCACTACAGCCCTAATCCATTATCTTTTAATTGCATCTTTCCACAAACTTTTTAAAGACCCATTATATATATTAAGGAGTCCTGATGTGGCCCTGTAGGATAAGCACTGGACTTCTAACCACAAGGTTGAGGGTTCAAATCCACCATCCACTCTTCAGAAACCCTAAACAGGGTCGTTATGGGTTGGGACCCACTAGAGGGCAATTGACATCAACAATAACAATGTTAAGTGCTGCTAACTCAGTTTTGTGATACTTGTTGTTAGGTGCCATTGAGTCAGTACCGACTCATAGTGATCTTATTAACAGCAGAACGAAACACTGCCCGATCCTGGGCCAAACTCACTACTGTTGCCACGCTTGAGTCCAATTATGCTGCCACTTGGCCAATCCATCTCGTTGGAGGTCTTCCTCTTTTTCTCTGACCCTCCAACTTACCAAACATGATATCCTTCTCCAGCGACTGCTCCCTCCTGACAATACGTCCAAAGTATGAGAGATGAAGATGAGGAGCACTCTGGCTGCACTTCTTCCAAAACGGGTCTGTTAGTTCTTTTGGCAGCCCATGACACTTTCAATATTCTTCTCCAACACCATAACTCAAAAGCATCAATTCTTCTATGGTCTTCCTTATTCACTGTCCAGCTTTCGCATGCATATGAGGTT